CGGGCCCACCACAGCCGTGTTTCAGGTCTACGCGGCCGTCAAGGCCGCGGTAATCAAGCGCGACGCCGATCTCCTGACCAAAGAGGAGGAGTCGAGGCTGACCAAGCAGGTGGCCGCTGCCATACTCAAGGAGCTGAACATCTGGGTCAATTACTTGTGTTTCACGCTTCAGGATCTTCAAACGGCTTCAGTGGAAATGAATCTTGGTATGGGGCCTATGAAGAGGGAGCCTCGAGGGAGAGTTTCGTCCAACATCGTTGATGGGTCTTGGGTTTGCACTGGTCTTTCCTCGTCCTCGGCCTCCTCCTTTTTCCTCTGTGGTTGTTCTGCACAGTGGGGGCGCGCATGCAGAAGCCATGTGCTCTTTGTCAGGGTATCCTGGATTTCTTTGGTCCGCACGCTGCGTGGTGACTTCCTGAAGGAGCTGCTGCGTTCAGGGTGCTCCCGGCTCCCCATCCGGTTTTTTTGCCTGCGCGGCAGCCTCGACGGACGAAGTGAGAGCCGTTTCGCTTCGCCCGTGCGCGCCAGCCGCCCGTGCGCGCCATCTGCATCTCGCGCGCGGGTTTTCAGGGTTCGGTTTTTTTGCGAGGGTTTCCTGCGGCCGCGCCCGCCTTGTATATGCCGGCCTCTTCTCCTTTTTCGCCGCTCCCTCCAACGCTGCTCTGCCGCCGCCTTTCGGCTCGCAGGGCCCTTAAGTATTGTGGCGCGCCGGGAGCGCCGCCCCCTGGCGCGCGTGACAGAAAAGAGAACGCAGCCTCTCTTGCTGAGGGTCCCGTTCCTATTTATTCGTGTCACTACGTCCCACATTCGCTGGAGATGCCGCAGTGATATCCACGTCCTCCTCCTCCTCCTCCTCCTCCTCCTCCTCCCTCTCCTCCTCCTCCTCCTCCTTCTCCTGCTCCTCCTCGTTCCTCCTAGTTTTCTTCCTGCTCACCCGCCACCTTCTCCAGTGTACGCAGCTTCCCTCTTCCCCATGGCGCACAACACGATGGGGTCTTTCGCGGAGTTCCAGCTCCGTCATGACACGCGTTCGTGGATAGAGAGAAACAGAGCACAGTGGGAACGGATGGGTGCGAGGGTAGGATGTCAGATATGGCGCGAACGCACCCATACTGTCTCCCACTTCCCCTCCTCCCCCATCCGCCTTTGTCGGAGTTCGCCGAGGGTTTCGCTCGCCTCCTGGGGTTCTGGCACTCGTTATGTTTCTATTGGATGGGGTTCGACGCCCCTACCGCACGGTGGCCACGCGGCATTTACAAAAACACCGATCGTCGAGAATCGAAGATCGAGGCTTGAGGTTCGAGGCTCGAGGATCAGATCGTTTTTTTCGTTGTCGCGCCCTGTTGTGCCTCCTGAGTGAGGTTTCCGGGGGGGTTCTGGAAACTTTTTCGGAGCTTGTGGAACCCTCAGGACGGCGTTGGTCGTCCGTCGTCGTCGTCGCCGCCGCCGCCGCCGTCGTCGGTCCAGGTTTTAGAACTCAGAATTTCATTTTCGATTCGCGCATCTTGGGCCTCATGTGCCGACACGGTGAGATTCCCCTGGAAATTCGTCAGGACGCATCCTGGGAGAGCGGATGTTTTGTCGCCGTCGACGTCGTCGTCTGCGTTGTTATTCTCCCGCGCGCGACACTGCTTCAACCAAGACGACGCTTGCCGGGGGCCGACACACCCACGCCGTGCTTTGCAAAGCAAAAGATCTGCGCCTGCGGCGGGCTGTTTTGCATGGCGTTTGGAGAACACGAGCGTCTGCTCCTCAGCCCCGGCGCCCACTTGCTCTTATCGGCAATCATGGGCGAGAAACGCATGAGAAGGTGGATACCAAGGTAGGGTGAGCCATAGGAGGAGGATAGTGAGGAGGAGGAGGAGGAGGAGGAGGAGGAGGAGGAGGAGGTGGCAGTGGGAAGAGGATTTCAACGAGGAAGGAATGGAGGACGAGGAGGAGGAGGAGGAGGAGGAGGAGGACGAGGAGGAGGAGGAAGAGGAGGAGGATAGGGAGCAGGAGGAGGAGGAGGAAGAGGAGGAGGAGGAGGAGGAGGAGGAGGAGGAGGAGGAGGAGAAGGAACGTGGGTACAAGGGCAGTGCTTCAGTATTTGCCTCGAATTCCTTGCGGGCTCTCGCCTCTGTCGCTTCCTCTTGGCAGTCCTGCTGTGCTGCGGGCCAGCTGCCCCCCGCCTGCACCCCAGCAGAGGTCCTGGGGCCCCTCCGTTCGAGCTATACCTCGGCAGGCTGGGACGAGGTGTCGCTTCGAGCCTGGGCACAACGCCCACCCCCCCCCGCAGGAGGGGCGGCCGGCCAGGGCCGGGCCCGGGGCTTCCCGTGGAATTCCTCGATGGTCCTCGCCGAAGGAAGAATGCACACGTCCGAGCGATGCCAAGGAAGCCCAAAGGCTGCCGGCCCAAAGCTAGACACGGCGGAATGCTTCACGAACCCGAAGCGGCGCCTGCGAGAAGTCGATGGATTACAGTAGGAGCTAGGCCACAAGAAAACCCTGCCACACGCAGCGCAACCCTGAGACCCCGGGACGTCCATGGATTTTTGGTGCGGGAACCCCACGCCTTCCATCGCAAAACCATCGAAGTCCAAGAAACCAAGGCCTGACTCCGGATCCGCCCTACTTTGGGGAAATTCGTAAGTAGGGCTTGGAATTTCCGCCCTACTTTTCAAGCCCCGCTGACGCCACTTTCCGCCCTACTTTCCTGTTGCTGTTTCCGCCCTACCTCTGTGGATTTCCGTCCTCCTTTACGTTGGGTGCAGACATTTCCGCCCCACTTTTTCGGCCTCTTGTGGGTGGCTTTCCGGCGCAATTTTGAGTTGGAAAAGAAGCCAAAGTAGGGCGGACCTGGAGTCCCAGACCCCCGACGTCGTGATTTTTTCACGACGTCGACCCCCAGAGGTCTGGACCTGTTCCCTGGGACCGGTTCTTCGTCCTGAGTCGTTTTTTGACGCTCCCGAGGCCCGGGGAGGGCCCCCGGAGGCCGAAAATCGCGACAAACCTCCCGTCGTGATTTTTTCACGACGCGAGGACCGGCCGGCGGCCCTGGCTCCGGTGGCCTTCGTCGGCGTGGAGGCCCGTGGGCCCAGGCGCCGCCGATCGCGGATCGACGTCGCCGCCTCGCCCCCAGGGGGGCGCCCTGAGGAGGAGGAGGAGGAGGAGGAGGAGGAGGAGGAGGAGGAGGAGGAGGAGGAGGAGGAGGAGGAGGAGGAGGAGGAGGAGGAGGGAGGAGGGAGGAGGGAGGAAGGAGGAGGGAGGAGGGAGGAGGAGGAAAAAAATAAACCAAAGTAGGGCGGACCTGGAGTCGGGGTTCCCTCTCTAGGCGAACCGCTGCCGGCTCGCCTGCGTGTGCGCCGCCCGCCGGCCTGGGCGGTGCCGCCGGGCGGCGCCGCCCGCCCGCGGACGAGGCCTGCGGCAGGCCCGCGGGATCCGAGCTGCCGCCGGGCTCGGCCCGGGGCCAAGCCCACGCCAGGAAGCCCAGACCTCCTCGCGTCGTGAAAAAATCACGACGGGAGGTTTTTCGCGATTTTCGGCCTCCGGGGGCCCTCCCCGGGCCTCGGGAGCGTCAAAAAACGACTCGGGACGAAGAACCGGCCCAGGGGAAGGGGTCCAGACCTCTGGGGGTCGACGTCGTGAAAAAAACACGACGTCGGGGGTCTGGGAACCCCCTGCTTGCCTCCAGGGTGCCCTCCCTGACTCCAGATCCGCCCTACGTTGGCTTGTTTTCCAACTTACAATTGCGTCGGAAATCCACCTGTAAGAAGCCGAGCAAGTAGGGCGGAAATTTCTGCACCCAACGTAAAGTAGGGCGGAGATCCACAGAAGTAGGGCGGAAACAGCAACAGGAAAGTAGGGCGGAAATTGGCATCAGCGGGGCTTGAAAAGTAGGGCGGAAATTCCAAGCCCTACTTACGAATTTCCCCGAGGTAGGGCGGATCCGGAGTCAGGCCTTGGTTTCTTGGACTTCGATGGTTTTGCGATGGAAGGCGTGGGGTTCCCGCACCAAAAATCCATTGACGTCCCGGGGTCTCAGGGTTGCGCTTCGTGTGGCAGGGTTTTCTTGTGGCCTAGCTCCTACTGTAATCCATCGACTTCTCGCAGGCGCCGCTTCGGGTTCGTGAAGCATTCCGCCGTGTCTAGCTTTGGGCCGGCAGCCTTTGGGCTTCCTTGGCATCGCTCGGACGTGTGCATTTTTCCTTCGGCGAGGACCATCGAGGAGCATCCTTGATCATTTGGCGAAAAACCCCCGCGCGAAACCGACAAAACACACGCACAGGGAATGGACGTCCGAGCGATGGCCAGCTTTTCGCCGGCGCCAGGACCCAGACCCCCGACGTCGTGATTTTTTCACGACGTCGACCCCCAGAGGTCTGGACCCTTCCCCCGGCACCGGTTTCTCGTCCTGAGTTGTTTTTTGACGGCCCCGAGGCCCGGCAAGGGCCTCCAGAGGGCGAAGCCAGCGAGAAACCTCCCGTCGTGATTTTTTCACGACGCGAGGAGGTCTGGGCTAGGAGGAGGAGGAGGAGGAGGAGGAGGAGGAGGAGGAGGAGGAGGAGGAGGAGGAGGAGGAGGAGGAGGTCTGGGGATGGCGAGCGGCCGCGTCGGCTGGCTCCGGCTCCGGGCGTGCCGGCGTCTCGCGGGCGCCGGGCGTTGCTGCGGTCTGGGAGAGGCATTCCACGCCCTTAAGGCGTGGCCTCGGGCCCTCTGAGCCTCTCGTAGTCCTGGCATCGCTCGGACGTGCGTATTTTTTCTCGGCGAGGACCCTGGAGAGGAGCATCCTGGACCATCGAGCAAAAAGCAAGTACACGCACGAAACCAAACAATTCAAAACATGCGCGGGAGATGGACGTCCGAGCGACGGCAAGGCGCAGGCGTGGTTTTTGCTGGGCGTGGTCCGGGACGTTCGTCAGTCCATTGGCCTCATGACCTTCACATCCCACCATCTCTTGAGTCTCATCGTCCTCCATGCGCTCGTCGCGCAATACTTCTCCGATGGTTCTTTTGACCAGGAGCTGCCCGAGAGACTAGAGTACGAGGAGACCTCTCATATTTGTTTGCCTTCGTCGCTGCTTCAGATCAGAGTGGTCCCGCGATAGCTTTCAAACTCGATGTATCAGCGCGTCAGTTTGTGACTTCTTGCGCATCTGTTCAATTGCAGCCCTGATGTTCACATTCTGTTTCCGCTTGTAGTCCACATCCCTGCCATACTGCTCGTAGGCTCTCCCTCTCTCTCCCCCTCTCTCCTTTTTTTGTTTGTTGTTTATGTTTATGTTGTTTTCTCTCTCTCTCTCTTTTTCCCTTTTTCCCTCTCTCTCTCTCTCTCCATTTCTCCCTCTCTCTGTCTCTTTGCATGTAATTAGATTGTTCGTTTATTAATTGTTGTTTGTTCTCTCTCTCTCTCTCTTCTCTCGGCCATGCACGTCGTACTTGCGTGCCGATATTATTTGAGCTTTGTTAGCAGCTTTGTTTACGTTGTACGCTCCTACACCCATGGTCTGACACATTGGGTGCACCGACAGCCCCGCACATGTGCGCATATGGGCCTGCGCTCAGGCTCCAACCCATTGCCGAGGCGGACGCGCGCGCGCATGTTCGTTGGCAATGAGCGTGCGTGCGACAGGAGCTTCTCGTTATCTGTGTGTATGTGTGCGTTTGCGGTGCAGCCCTAGCACACCACTTATCGCTTGCACGTTACAGTATGCGATGTCTCGTCCACTGTGCCTTCGACAGCGCTCGATTGCAATTAGCACTTCCATCTGCTGCCCGCGCTTTAGGACCCTCTGCGCCGCCGGCTTCAAAAGTGCGGAGCAGTCCCCATCCATCTTGTTATGTTGGTCCATTGCTTCCACCATTCCCTCGACTTCAATCGCGTGGTTGGTTACAGTACCAGCCTGCTTTTCAGCTTAATGTCCGCGCTTCATTGCCGAACACCGCTGATGTGATTCAGTGGCCGCAATTCGCCGCCGGCTCCCGCGCTTCAGTTGACTGAGTTGAGCTCTTTCCTCGTGTTCTGGCCGCTGCGCGTTCGCGTCCGCCTGGACTTACAGTTCCTCTTTCATGCCAATCGCTTGCATGCTGCGGTTGTGCTGTAGCGCGCCGCGATATCGACAACGTCCGGTCGCATTTAGCACCTCCATCTGCTGCTCGCGCGTGAGGACCCTCTGCGCCGCCGACTTGAAAAAAGCGTGCGGTGCAGTTGGGCGTCTGAACGCGCTGCTGTTTCTCGCTGTATCTCTGCCTGTGTTTCTTGCCTTCTCTGCGCCAGGAGTCCCAGTGGGAAGAGATTTTCCGCGATTTCGAGGAGATGTCCCCGCTCCGATCGCAGCTGCAATGAGGAGGGCGAGCAGGGCATATAGCCGAAGAGTCTGCACGCGTCCACTTGACGGATCATGGTGCGCCCAGGAACATAACCTGATCGGTCACGATTCTTGGGGCGCTGAGGCATTCAGGGCGGCGCTGACGGGGAAAGACGAGGAGACAGTGACGGCGAATAAAGATAAGCAGGAAGAAGGGGAGGGTGAGGTGGAGAACAGAGAGAGAGGAGGATGAAAGAAGAGGAGAAGGTGCGGGAAGAGGAAGAGAACAAGGAGGAGGGGGAGGAGGAAGATGAGTGGAACGACGAGCGCGGTCCATTTTGCCTCCAGTTCGGCGCAGCGCTTTCTCGACTTGTCGTCCCGACGGAAATGACGGGCTGGGCACCTCACGCTGAGAGCGGGCACAGCATACATCCAGAACCAGGACCGCAGATAAGACGGATTGTAGAGAGATTGGGTTTATCTATATCGTGTGCGCATCTACTCTTGCGCACGCGCACGTGCGTTACATTACCCTTGCTACTGCCTGTCCGCCTGGCTGCCTTGCCTGCGACCGGCCTGCTATCCAATTCGCGCCACCTGCGACCTAGGCTACATCCGACGTGCGTTCCTACCTCACACCATCCACCTGTCGCATATGGATTGCCTGAGGGTCTTCCATATGTGACCCGAAACATACGGCGTGCCGCAGACCACCTGTCATAGACAGCGTACTTGTCATTACTGCTACGTTCGGAATCACTCAGCCCCAAACTCACCAGCATTGCGCATGTTGCACACCCGTCACGGGAGCTCATCTACAACAGCAGCCAATAGCACAGCTCCACGAGCACAAGTGGTTTCTACCACTGATGTTGATGTTGCTGCTGGGACTCTCAAGACTACCGCGAAAACGATGGCATACATAATGCGGCAACCCTGCATACTGCGAATAGAAATAACGGCTTTGCGGATGCGACTAAAGGCAACGAGCCGAACGCGAATTCGCAACCGACATGAACATGTAATGTACTCCAGATTCCGTAATAAAAGGGAGGGGGTCTGGACCCTCCAAGACAAGCCATTTCAGACCTCCCCCGGGGGAGAACCCTCCAAAACAGCGCCCCCAGACCCCCCCAGGCCCTCCAAGATAGCCTGGAAGAGACCCCCCCCGAAATGAGACCCCCCTCCCTTTTATTACGAAACCTGGAGTACACCGCAAGACTTGAGCGACCCCAACTTTGGGATGTCTTTCTTCAGAGCAGGCCCCCGGGCAGCCCACGCGTCGGCAGAGGGCGAGACAACGGCGACGTACCTCGAGGAGAGGAAGAGGCAAACTTCCGGGCAAGCTCCGGACACGCAAACGACCGCAATACTAAGAAGTCCGACGACAAGCTGCAAGGTACTCCAGATTTCGTAATAAAGGGAGGGGGGTCTCATTTCGGGGGGGGGTCTCTTCCAGGCTATCTTGGAGGGCCTGGGGGGTCTGGGGACGCTGTTTTGGAGGGTTCTCCCCCGGGGGAGGTCTGAAATGGCTTGTCTTGGAGGGTCCAGACCCCCTCCCTTTTATTACGGAATCTGGAGTAATCAAAAATGTCATTCATAGCCACCGACTGAAGGCATGCTGACGACAGGCTCAAGCGCAACACAATCTTGCATACCGTGAGGGGCAAGCATCAGGTAAGCAGGAACATTCCCACAAGCTAGCTTGGTGTTGTATGTTGCTGCTTTGTTCTATTGGGGGGGGGGGCTGGCTTAGAATCTGATCATGCAAGCCGGCATAAGACCTCTTCAGCGTAGAGCAATGCAGCGGCACAATCATACCTTGGAAGACGCCCCAACGTAGCATATCGCAGACAATCGCAATGCAAAGCAACGCAACGCACTCATTGCAGACCAAAGCAGCTGAAGCTCTTCCTCCTCATCCCCCCGCTGCTGTGGCTCCTCCTCCCCCTGCTGCTGGTGCTTCAAGAGTCCAAGAGTGGATACATTGCGTCCGCCGTCCGCGCTGCCTCGAGGGGTTCTCTGGCGGTGCTCGCATCAAGGCTGCGAGCACCGACAGAGACCCAGGGGAGGCTTAGGGGCTTAGGGGCTTAGGGGACCCAGCTGCTCGCAGCAATGATTCATGAGGCTTAGGGGGCACAGGCACATGAGAAACCTAGGGCATGATATCTTTGGCGGGCGCCCCCAACGTCTCCAGGTGCGGAGTCGTCGCCTGGAGGTCTGCAAAGCGGAGCTCTGAGCTCCAAGCCCTGAGGAGGGGCGCCCCGAACAAGGTAGGAACTCTCTGGCGTACAGGCCTGCTGCCTGCAGGCGCGACTCAGACGGATGTGTTTTACGATCCCGCTTTTGAGGCCACGGTTCCCTTGCTCACGCATTCTGAGGCTGATACCTGGGGTAGAAGCCATTTCTTTATTGCTTGGGGCATGACGGGCGTCATGGCCCCCGCTCCCCCCCCCCTATGACGTAACGCTCCCCCCCCCAGTGCGCTCCGGGCACTGCCGCCGTGCGCATTGGGATCCGCGTAGGTGTCCGCGTAGGAATCCGCATAGGTGTCTGGTCAGCAGGCGTCGTCGTCGTCGTCGTCGTCGTCGTTCGTCGTCGTCGCTCGTGGTTTGTCGCTCGGCGCTCATCGTCGTCGTGCGCGCGGACGCGGCTGGAGCCTGTTTTTAAGTCCGGGCCGATGACGGCAATCATCTGGGGGGGGAGGGAGTCGATGACGTCACGTTTCGCGCCGGCGGCGTTTGGGAATGGTTAGGAATGACGGAGGACGGGTAGCACGAACATGTAGGTGGCGATATGCACCACAACGCCTGTGTACATCACAGTGCCCGCGTGCACCACGGCGCCTGTGTACACCACACCGCCGATGTACACCACAGCAGCCGCGTGCAACACAGCGTCAGTTTGTGCCACCGCGCCTGCGAGCACAGCAGCTCCTGTGTACACCACAGCGCCTCCGTACACCACATCAGCCGTGCACAACACAGCACCAGTGTACACCACAATGCCTGTGTGCATTGCAGTGCCTGTGTACGCCACGGCGCCTGTGTGCACCACATCAGCCGTGTGCAACACAGCACCATTGTTGTGTATAGAATTTCAGAAGGGATCCTTGTGACAAAATGGAGCGCGTGTGGATTCAAGAGAGAACAATGGACAACAAATCCTCATGGACAAAGAAGCGCCGCTGGAATCTACGAGTCCCCCCGAGTCCGCCCGCATCACCCTAACTCCCACTTGCGTCCAGGAGGCTCCAGCTAAATTGGCCGTCCGAGAACCAAGTGGACCGATTCAATCGACCATTCTGCGGTGCACGCTGAGATGTGCACGTGCGTTGCAACGCCAAGCCGCACGACAGGGGGTAAGAAGGAGGAAAAGGAGGACAAGGAGGAGGAGGAGGAGGTGGAGGAGGAGGGAGGAGGGGAAAACGTCGCATTCGATTCTCAAAATTTTCCCGGCGTGACGTTTAGTTGTCCGCATCAGATCCTGACGCACATGCTCCTTCTACCTGTCCTATGCACGCAGCCACTGTGGTGTACACCAGCGCTGCGTTGCACGCGGATGCTGTGGTGTAGACAGGCGCTGTGGCGTGCACAGGCGCTGCGGTGCACGCAAGCAGTGTGGTGTACACAGGCGTTGTGTTGCACATGGCTGCTGCGGTGTATGTACACCCGCGCTGTAGTGCTCCCAAGTATTGTGGTATACACGGGCGGTACGCTGCACACGGGTGTTGCGGTGTACGCAGGCGCTGTGGTGCACGCGCGCGGTGTGGTGCACGCGAGCGTTGTGGTGTACACAGGCGCAATGGGCAGATCGCCACTTACATGCTGCTCGCGTCGTCGTCGTCGCTCGTCGCTCGTCGCGCCGTGCGCGCGGGCGCGTCTGTGCTGCCGGAGCCACACGGCGGGGGGCGGGCGTCACGTCATACCCCCCGCCCTCCCCCCCCCCATGACGCCCGTCATCGCCGAACATAAAGAAACGCCTTCGTAGGAAAATCTCCCTGGGGCTGCTCCAGGGTGCCTGGATGGCCACCAGGGTTACGCTCATAGCTAAGACGGCATGGCACAGGTGCAAGGGACCGATCTCGGCCGTCGTTCTGTCTTTGTATAGGATAGGTTGGAGCATGTCGCCAGCACGCACACACACATTCACACGCAGCTATCGACGACCAAGATAGATCCTGGTCCCTCCTCAGCGTGTCCCCGTGCGAGCTGCGTGAGCTACTGAGGGATGGGGTGTCCAGGTGGCAAGCGGTCAGGATTTTTCAGCATGCCCCCGAGGCGGGAGTCACTGCTGTTTTATGGGTGCCGGGCTTGCGCCATGGTATTCTCGGCATCTCCGGCGCCAAGAGGCGAGGTGCCGCTCGGTGCCTGCTCGGCAGTGCTATTTGGCCGCCGTCCAGAAAGCTCTTAGCATGTGCGAGCATGATTCGTGCACCTTCTGTTCGGGAGCTGAGAGGACCCTCGGCCAGTTTCCCTGATTCTGTCGGGCACGTGCATCCCGATGGCATCCCGGAACTTCGGGCTGGGCCAAGGGACCGAGGCGAGACTGGCACCAGGCAGCCTGCTCAGGACACGTTTCGGCTGGCGTGCGACGTCCCGTTGGTTGGCGTCGTGCTCTCGCAGGTCCCAGAAGACGCCCCCGTAGGTTCGTGTGGCCGTGCATGTACCGCCTGGGGGAAGTGCGTGTGCAGTCGAGCGCCTGATTCAGAAGCCTCCTCCCGAAGCGCCGGGCCGGCGCTTCTTCGCCAGCCTGCCGGCAGTCCGGCCCAGCTTCTCGAGCGCGCTTTGCCCCTCCGGCGTTCACACGAACACCTGGCCCAGCTTTGTCTTGAGGAACGTCCGGAACATTGGCCCAAGTTTCTGAACTTCGGACGGTGTTCTAAATCCTACCCTCGGCTGTGCACCGACGGTTCGAGGCTGGCCAGCCACAGACCCGAGCTGCGGCGGTGTGGAGAGAGCTGCTGTGGAGGTAGGGCCCCGTTGGGGCTCCCTGTCTGTGCCGT